CTTCTCAAGAGAATTTGGCTTAGCAAAGATCTCAACATTCAAAAATGATTATTTATTTCAAAATGTGAAAAGGCCCAGGAGAAAGAGGTACCAAGTGTTTTGAGGAATTTTGCAAAATACAATCAGAGGATGCCAATGTATCCACAATCACATGGAAGAGTGTCTATTTGTACAACAGAGGTGTACACGAGGAGACAACCCCAAATATTCTGCCAAATATTACATTTCAAATTTTATAACGACTTTTAACATAATTATCTGAATTCTTATAATGCACTCTTACTCCTTAACTGGGAAATTATCCATTTAATAAACATTTATGCTCATATCCTTTTTAAAAGAAAAACATAAATATTATATTCTTGCATAAAAAAGTGAGGGGCCTAGAGATGATAATACAGTCTTTAGATTTAAGTATTTTATGTGCACATAAAATTACAAAAATTCTAAAATCATAAACTCTAATACAGAGAAATCATGGTTTTTAAAATTTCTTTTTCTTTTGGTACTTGGGATCAAACTCTGGGGTACTTTACTACTGAGATACATCCTCAAACCTTTTTATTCTAAGACAGAGTCTCACTAAGTTGCTTAAGGTCTCACTAAATTGTTGAATCTGGCCTCAAACTTGTGATCTTCCTGCCTTAAGCCTCCAGTGACTCTGGGATTAGAGGCCTGCACTACTGCCCCTAGCTATTTCTTTCTTTTTGGTATATCTTATTCTTTGATTTTTTTTTTTTCCAATCAACAATTCTTATTTGTGTTTTTCAAAACTTCAAAGTTCCATTCTCACAATCCTTTCTTGGCTGACAGCTCCCAGAGAAGTCAGCATCAGAACCTCAGGGCTCCCCTCACTTTTACCTTGATTTTGATAACCACAGGCCCCTAGGTCTCAGTTTCCCTATCCCCTCTGTAGCTGTCACCATCCATCTTAATCCCTCCTATTTCTTCTACCACTAACTCTATGTCTGACTACAAGTAAGATGAAGAACCAGAACCCCAACCTTTGGAATTTTAAGGAGTTTCCTGATAATCAATAAGAGAGAAAGAAACAGGAGATCATAAGCATCACAAATTATGAGGAAGAAATGAATTCTGATTAACTTTCAAACTGTGTACAGTAGAGGACTGTTCTTGGCAAACCTCCTGGGAGGAAGGACCAGAGAAAAACCATAGCTGTTGGGCTGGGGTTATGGCTCAGTGGTAGAACGATCACCTAGCGTGTGCAAGGCCCTGGGTTCAATCCTTAGCACCACATAAAAATAAAAGTAAATAAATAAATAAACAAAAGAAACGGACTCACTTAAAAAAAAAAAAAAAAAAAGACCACAGCTGTCTCTGTACCTCTGATGGTTGTGGAGTCATTCCAAGGAATTTGGCAATCAGGGATGTTATTAGATCCACTGCTAGAGTTAAGTATTCTTAAATATGCACCACAGGTTTTCAAACTTAGGTCGACGCTATTAATAAATTCATAATATTTAACCCCATTTTCACTAAGCATTTCTCAACCAACAAATATTAAAATTACAACTCTCAACTAAGTATCTGCTTAATTTTTTTAATGTTAAAGTGTCTGCATGCTCAAAAAGGTTGAAAACCCTAATGTACATCAAGAACCACAGGTTCCAGGAGTACAATACAGCAGATCTTACACCATGGCTCTGTCGTTTAACTGAGTGAATTCCACCATGCATATTAAACTCTGAGGCTCAGTTTGCACATCCAAATCTAAGAACAGTAATTCTATCAACCTTCCTATTGGGAAAAATTAGATTAACTCAGTCTTTGAGCTGACCATTTCTCCCCCTCACTCCTCACCTAAAGTCCAAAACACAACAGCAGATATTAACAGGCACCTTACCCCTCAGAGGACCACCAAATAAAAGGCCAATTTACTAAGCCACTGGTCAGCCCTAATATAATAGTCTCTTTGCCATTTCCTGTTCTCCAGAGAAACATTTTAAATGGTGAACATTAAACATTTTTAGAAATTAATAATACCAAAAGAATTAAATACAAAATGTTAAACATTTAAAAATTAATAATACAGGGGCTGGGGTTGTAGCTCAATGGTACATCACTTGCCTAGTATGAGGCACTGGGTTTGATCCTCAGCACCACATATAAGTAAATAAAAAAATAAGGTCCAGGGCTGGGGATATAGCTCAGTTGGTAGAGAGCTTGCCCCACATGCACAAGGCCCTGGGTTCAATCCCCAGCACCACAAAAATAAATAAAGGTCCATCAACAACTAAAATATATTTTAAAAAATTAATAGGTCAAAAACTTTTCAGTATTTCTTTTTAGTAGTAATATGAAAAATCAAATTTTATAACAGGATGTGATTCATAGTGTGAGAGAGGAAATGGTATGTTAAGTTTTATCTACAACTTGAATTAAAAATTATTCTGGGGGCTGGGGTTGTGGCTCAGTGGTACAGCGCTTGCCTAGCATGTGTGAGACACTGGATTCAAATCTCAGCACCACATATGAATAAAGTCCACTGACAAACTAAAAAAATATGTTTAAAAAAATTATTTTTGAAATATGCTCTGGATGATTCAGATGAAAAGGCAGTTTAGTCCAATTCAAGATAATCATGTACTATTTCTCCATAAAACTCCCACTTAATTCAAAGCTGAACTAAGTCTAATTTACCCAAAAGGACACTATTAATCAATATTATAAGGTGGCAAGCACACAGAACACAGAACCAAAATATAGCAGGATTATTTTAATTTTAAATGCATGTTAGTATTCACTCAGTATGGGAATATTGTTTTGTTTTCTTTGTTTTTGGTGGTATTGGAGATTGAATCCATGGGCATGCTAACCTCTGAGCCACATACATCCCCAGCCCTTTTTGTCTTTTATTTTGAAAATAAAATAAAATAAAAACTTAAGGTCTCCCTAAATTGTCCAGGTTGTCATTGCCCTTAGGGTCCTCCTGCCTCAGACTCTTGAGTTGCTGGGATTACCAGCAATTACAGGTGCACCACCATACCCAGCTAAATATCAGTTTCTAATGTAGGTAATGAAAACAATATATTTTAATTTTTAGGAAAAAAAAAGTGTCTCGCTGTCCTCAAGTACAAACAATAAAAAGATTATCTAACATACTATGTATACTAAAACAACTTTAGATGTTGTACTGTAAAAGAAGTTTGAGAAGACTAAACAATCATGCAGTTTGACAAGTTATCTTTCTTCATTCACCAGCTGTTCCACATTAGATATCAAAGTCCCAAGAATTTAAACCAGGGAAAAAAGCAAAACATTAAACCTTAGGAAAATTACATAGAAAAGGAAACATTTCTTTAAGAACAACCTTGGTACTTGCTCCAACAGTGAAAACTGATGTTATCTTGATTAGTTAATTATTCATCCCAACATGCAGGCCTTACTCCTGGAGGCATCCATACCTTCTCCACCTCCAACTTTGTGAACTGCTAGTTCAGTAACTTGCTGATAAAAGATCTTAACTGCAATATTTAACAGATTAAGTGTGTGCTTTACCCCCTCGTTGTACAGACAAGTAAACTAACACCAAAAGAACTAAAGTATCTTACAATCAGAAAACTGGTTAGTTGAAAAGCCCACTCATTCCTGTGCACACATTCCACTAGAACAGCTACAATTCTGACAACAGAGAACCCAGTGGATATCCACTCGATTATGTGAGAATGTTTTCAATGGGCCACAGAGCACATTTAAACTGTTAAATTAATACGGAGGACATCAGTCATTTATTAATCTCCTTTGGATATTAAATGTATAAGTGGTATTAATTTAATCAAATATACTCTAATTTAACTTTGTCCATTCATTATAAAAATGATGGCACACTACAAAATTTAATGAAGTAATTTTACTCTTTCCAAAAAAAGTGGCTGAAATTCAAGGATTCTCTGCTGTATTTTCAACTAGTAAATAATATACCCAACCTGGGGCTTAGATGTACCATCTATAAGGGATACCTGGTAACTTTTTCATTAAAGTTTTCTGAGCTGTAGAATACAGATCATAACTGTTCTAAAGATTCAATTAATATCAAGCTATTAAAAAGTATTTACAGAAGAAAGGGTTTTTTTGCAATTTATATGTCCATAAATGTTTCCATTAGCTAAGAGATATTTTGGAATGTGGTCAAATGATATTGAATGTCAAGTCCTAACAGCAGGGCTGAGCTGAGTCCCCCTTAGGCTAAAATCTGACAGTTTTTCTACATGGCCATTGCTTTTTTAAACCATGATTGTCCCTAAAAAGGATTAGGAGAAAATCCTAACTTCACAAATGAAGACACCAAGGTATATCTGAATTGCTACCTTTCAATTTAACTCTACCTCCTCAATAAAAAATTGGATTTGGGCTTGTTTCAAGCTGACAATTTACTACTAAAATGTGTACCTCTCAATCTTCCCCCAAAGATAGAAGTCATCCAGTCCAGTTACACATAACTCTCCGAATTCTTTCCTACAACTAAATGTAAAAATTAAAGTACCACTCCTTAAAAAACAAAGAAAGAAAGAGAGCGAGCTGTGTGTAGAATTGGCAGGCTACATGTTTATGTCAAGCTTCAGAACACATGGAAACATAGAGCCACAATTCACCAGGAAAATCACCAGTGTGATCAAACTATTTTGTGATATTTTGTCTTTTATGCATTTCACTTTATACCCAACAATTCCAGTTTTACACTCACTCCTGTATCAACCACAGAATGCCTCAAGAGCCATCTACTACTGTAGCAGAACAGTTTTAACGGAAGAGTTCGGCTCACAGCCCATAGAGTGGTTTCAGAAACACTTCAAACATATTTATTTTCTCTCTGCTACGTAAAACGTGGGGACATCATACTTGGGACCTGGCTAAAGAAGAGCGGCAAGAATTAAATACACAAGCAAACAAAATACCATCCCCGAACACCGAATACGCTCAGAACAAAGGAAACATAAGCGTGTGAACAGGAAATGAAGCAACTCTATCCACATAAATACCTTTTGGGGCCGCCAACGTAGGTGAAAGTAAAGGTGGAGTCTGAGTATCTGAAATCTGAAACGGAAAGTCCGGTTAAAAGCTATCCCTCGACTGGATTTCTTTTAACCCCAATCCTGACTTGAACCCCTTATGTACCGGAGCTTAGGGGAGGCCTGGACCCGCAGGAGGCGAGGGCTGGACAGCCGAGAGGTCTCGGCTCCCCGTCGCACGGGAGGGGATGCTGCGCACCCCCCGCCGGGTGTAACGGGAGGCCGCCCCCCGCAACAAGTGCCGGGTGCCATGGCAACGGCGGGAATTTCCCGGTCGGGCGGCCGGAAGCGGCCCCCGCCGGGCTTCAGGCTGCGAAAGCAAAATCTGATCCCTCTTTCGGGGGAGCAAAATGGACGAAAGGCGACCCCCAGGCTGGAGAGCTGTGTGCCTCGGGAGCCCTTGTAATCACTTCACTTTCCGGGGCACTACCTTGCCAGTCGGAGAACCCTGGGAGCCAAAGGGGCCGGGGATCCGGCCAGCGCTGGCCCCGAGGGGCCTCGGCGCCAGGCGCAGCAGAGGAGCGCAGCGCAACGCAGCGGGCTCCATTCCCGGCCACCGCCGCTCAGCCCATTGCGCAAACCCGGCGGGTCCAACCCGCCCCGCTCGGCCGCCGCTGCTGGAACCCGGGAGGCTGACTTGGACGCTTCAGGCATCTCCAGGGGCTAGAATACAACGCCCAGCCCCTCCGCCTAGACCTCTGCTCGGGCCACCCGGGTTCTGCCCGCAACGCTGGTGGCTGCTCTAGACTTAGGGGGGGAGGGGGAGGAGAGACTGGCGCCCCTTCCCCCTTTTGGCTCCCACTCTCGTTGCAGCAGCTGTTGCCAAATGAACCCCGGAATGGGGACGTGCAACCCACCCACCCCCAGCCACACAAGTCGCGGTCAGAAAACTGGGAAGGAGGGCGGCGGGCGGGCAAGAGGAAGCTGGCTCTGGGTCCGAGGCTCTGGGAAGGCGAGAACTCACCTGCAAACAGGCAGTCTTTCTCGGCTCTGGACTTCTGGATCACGACGTCGATATCCTTCTGAATTCGCTCTTGCCTTGAACACATCCCCATTAAATAAATCCCTGGAAAAGAAGCAGCCGCTATTTCCACCCCACCCCACCCCCCTCGCACGCTTCCAGCTTTCGTAAATATTCAGTTAAAAATGAAACCTCTGGCCGAGGCAGGGGCTGAAGACGAAGTGGTTTCGGAAGTGATCCCGGGTGAGAGAGAAGGTGGTGGTGGAGGAGGAGGAGGGGGGGGAGGTCGGCTTTGCATTCCCAGATGTGACCGCCCAGCTGCTGCTTGCCGCTGCTGGATTCCAATTTCCTCCCCTTCTGACAATGGATGGTGATGACACCGAGTCTCACTTTCTCCCTCCCCCGCCCGGACTAACGGCCGTGGGGGCCAAGGGTGCCGGGGACCTCCGGAGAGCGATCACCGGCGGGGCGGCGGGCGCCGGCGAGGGGCGAGCCCCGCTCGGACTCACGCGCGCACACCCCTCGCGGCCCGCACGCCGGCCTTCCACACCCGCGCACACTCGCGCCCGCGGGCGGCGACGGCCGTGCCCAGGCTGCTGCAGCGCCTCCCGCCCGCCGCAGACCCTCCCGCGCCCGCCGCCGGGTCACCCAGCCCGGCCGCGCGCCGCCAGGGCTTTAATAGTATCCGCCATCCCCGGCGCAGGCTGGATTTCCCCACCCCCGACCTCCACTCGCGCCTGGAGCTGAGTGACAATGTAGGTAGTGAAGATTCCCTGGGGCTCCCAGCGTTCCCTCCCCCTCCGCCACTTTTATGAATTCGACTCCACTTTCAAAAGGAATTATGAGTCATATGGAAAACCCAAACCGGAGTGGCTGGGAGGGAGAAAGGGGGAAAGAAAAATCTTTTAAATTAAAAATTAAATAAATAAAGTGAACAAATCGTTCCTTGTTGCCACTGCAGGCGAGATGGAAAAAGCCTTGAAATTACTCCAGACACAAACCCTCCCACTCCATGCCCGAGTTTATTTATTTATGTATTTATTTGCTTATTTCCCGATTTATTTTCTCCCATGTCAAAGTATTTCAGCACACTTTGGGCTCCCATTATGAAAAGCTGCCCTTTTTGAGGGACTTCTTCCACTTTCAAAGACTCACAATTCTTCCCTCTTGCTAATTAATTAATGAATAAATAAATAAATGACAGAAGCAATTAGAATAAAATGTGCCAGGTCCTTCTTAGAACTTGAATATCCGCTTGGCTTTTAAAAAGCCACCCTTTTGCCATCTAGCTGAGGGAAAACTCCCGCAACCATGTTCTCTTGTTTAGAAATAAGATGCTGCTCAGATCCTTGCTTCTTGTCCTGCCTAAGGACACCTTAAGCTGATGTCGTTGACCTACCTTTATTGCCACATGTAATTTGAATAGAAGAGTATGTGGACTTTTGTCTACTGAGAAGGCTCCCCACCCCCACCCTGCGTACAATGTCTCATTTTGTTTTGCATTCCAAGTGCCTCGTGCAGTGCCTGGAATACAGGAGTGGGGTCTAAATGCTGACTGAATGCGTGCATAGATGAATGCGGTTTCCTTGCAGCCTTTCTTCATAGGTACCCTAGTTTCAATCAGCTTTTCTCATCAGGATAAGTTTCCAAGAATTGACGAACTGGCTCAGACCCTTACTCAGTCCAGTTCTGATTCTGACATTGGCAACATGATGTTTAGGAGAGTAAGAATGTCATCCCTGATACATGCTCACAATTCTAGCAAATCAAAAGCAAGAGAAAACAGGTTCCAATTCTTTCATCTTGCAGGAAAGAAAACATCAGTCAAAGATTCCTTGTACAGCCACACTCACTATGAGTTATAAAGTACCTCTGCATTCTCTAGATCCACTGCAGCCTTTACTTCTGCTCAGTCCTCTCCTGAAATGCTTCCTGACTGGGGAGGGACAGGTTCAAGTCCTTCTTGGCTATGATGCTTTGTGTAGGCCTCTGAACCGCCAAAAGCACTTTCCTCTTCTCCACATCATCACTGAGTTTCCCAAGTGTGTTCTTTGTTCATCATTTTCTCTACAAGCCTGAAAATTTATTAGCTCACAAGAATTGTTCTAATAGTTGTCTAGCCATAAGGCTTATATTTTCAAAGTATAACACAAGTAAATTTAAAATAGCTCTAAAGCTACAAAATGTTGTTTGCCTGGATCATCTCTTAGTTTACTACTTACTCCATAAAATAGACCTCCCTGTGAGCAGTCCTATATCTGATTTTCCTCAAGTTTCATGGGCTGCCCTGCTTTTGTTAAAAAAGCTAACCTCACCCTATTCATGCCCTAAAGGTGTGATATATTTAAATATTTTTTTAAACCTTGAGGGGTAAGATAAAAAAAAAAAAAACTTTTCTATCTAGTATCCATTTCTCAAGGTCAGCTTCTCCCATAAACAAAACGTGAGTGCCCCAGGCTAGATCCTTATAGAATGATTCAAACTCTGACCACAACCCGGGTCCTTACACCATCTGAGACTCTTAAATTTAAGTATTTAGCTTCCTATTGGGTGTGGTGGTGCATGCCTGCAATCCCAGTGACTCAGGAGGCTGACGCAGGAGGACTACAAGTTCAAGGCCAGCCTCCGCAATTTAGGGAGGCCATAAGCAACTTAGTGAGACCCTTTCTCAAAATAAAAAGGGCTTAGGAATTTGACTCAGTGGTAAAGTGCACCTGGGTTCATCCCCAGTACCAAAATAAATAAATAAATATTTAGCTTCCTAGTGCTCAAAAGCTCCTTATAATGACCTTTGAGAGAAGACAGTACTATCCCTGCCTTTATCACTCATATGCACAAACACACTTGCATCCAGGAACATAGCATATGATAGACCTTCATTGTCTTCTTAAAGCCAACATTCAGGATGAGGGAGAGTTCTGGTGGTATCCCATAATAAATTAAAGATAATAATTTATGTTGGGTCATAAAGTCTAGTTGAAAAACTCATCCATTTAGGAAAATTATCTCATGCCAAAATGTAAATTCCTTGCCTATACTGAAAGACTCAACTGCAGAAATAAAAGGTAGTGGTCATATAGCATGAACTTCAACAATGTCATGTAAGTGTGTAAGCTATGTGATGTAAAATAAGTCCAGAATTTATTAAGTACCAGGTACTGCTCTAAAAGATTTATCTATATTAATTCATTTAACATTAACAATAACACTATATAGTAGCTGTTATTATTCTTTGTATTTTACCAAGGAGGAAACTGAGGCACAACAGGGTTAATTAACTCCTCAAAGGTGGGATAGGGCCTTCAATGAATGTTTTCCTCTCTCCCAAACTTTCAGCATTTGAACAGAACTTACGAGAGATAAGTGATCAGTATTTTCACTGGGATGTAGCCAGGTACAGAAGTACATGCCTGTAATCCCAGTGACTTGGGAGACTGAGGCAGGAGGATCAAGTGTTCATGGCCAGCATGAACAATTTAGTGAGACACTGTTTCAAAATAAAAACTAAAAAATGTAGGGGATATAGTTCAGTGGTAAATGGATCCTGGATTCAAACTCACCCCTATACCACAAAAAAATAAAGTAAAAAGAAGAGAAATCTCTTTGGGAATAAACTGGTCCTGCCAATGGCCGCAGGCTAAAAAGTGAAACCAAGGACACCATATAATAGATTCTAAAGGAGGCCTGAGGCCTATGGCTTCTCAAAATAGTCTCTGCTAGTGGCAGTTTTATTTCCCTTTCTTGTACTGAACTTCCTTTCTCAAATGATCCAACTCTTAGTAAAGTCTTAAGGATAGAGCGATAGTATCCTCTGCTATTCCAGGGGAATTGAGGAAAAAAAGAGAGAGAGAGAGAGAGAGAGAGAGACAATTAGCAAGGGAGGCAGGATTATAGCATCTGTCAAACACATGATGATGTCATGATCAAGAAATGCCCAGCAGCTAGGGTCTCTGGTAGAAAGAGCATCGAATTTGCCCTGTAGCTGAATCAGGGAAAGACTGGGTGGGTCCAAGGAATCCTGGGTGGAAGCAACCACATAGGGACTTTAAACCAAGTTGAGAAATGTTAAGTCACCAAATCTCAAAAGTGCTTTTCAATTACTGGATTTATGAAATTTCTCCTTGAAGTAGTTCTTTAGTGGAAAGACATGCATGAAATTCAAAATGCCTGCTAGGTCCAATTGGCCTTTTCTAGTTCTTTTTCTTTTTCAAGGTATTGGGGATAGAAACCAGTGGCACTCTACAACTGAGCATTCCCTGCCCCTAGCCTCCTCTAAACAGAGCAACTTACTTTAGGATACTACTAGTAGTTTTGTGTCTTGTTTTGGGAGAAACTAATTCTGGTTTCTTTGTTTCATTTTGTTTACCTCATTGGATAAGTCTAGTAATCAAAGTGTGACCAAATCCAAATCAGCTTTGAATAAATTTGAAAAATGGAAGAGTATTTTAGGTGGTTTAATGTGAAATTTGTCACAGTTTCATTCTTAACATACCTCCTAACATAAGGTCAAACGGAACAACACAATGACGGTTTTATATGACCTTTTCTAGCATTTTACTGAACCCCACTAATACCAAAGCTACAGCATGAAACCTGAATGAACTCTTTCTAGTTGCAAGTTTTGCTTTACTTTTGATCCATTTTTTTCACATTAAGTGTTATTTTTCCATTCTTACTCTATGTTACAAATACCGAGGTATAGCAAGGAATCAAATACGTGCTCAAAAGTAGCTCAGCAAGGGGCTGGGATTATAACTCAGTGATAGAGTCCTTGCCTCGCACATGTGAAGCACTGGTTTTGATCCTCAGCACCATGTAAAAATAAATAAAATAGCCGGGCGCTGTGGTGCATGCCTGTAATCCCAACAGCTCAGGAGGCTGAGGCAGGAGGATCACACACAAGTTCAAAGCCAGCCTCAGCAATGGCGAGGCACTAGGCAACTCAGTGAAACACTGTCTCTAAATAAAATACAAAACAGGGCTGAGGATGTGGCTCAGTGGTTGAGTGCCCCTGAGTTCAATCCCCAGTACCAAAAATAAATAAAGTAAAATAAATTGCGTCCATCTTAAAAAAAAAGAAAAAAGAAAAAAGGCAGCTCAGCAAAACTTTACTTCTGCAGGTTGTGTTACCAAACAAAGTGGCAAACAAACACACTTGGGTGAGCAATCCACCTGTTTTTATCCCTAACACAACATTGCCATTTTCTCTGGTAGGAGAGGCTCATGGTTACAATCTATGCAATTGGCTAATTTTAAAATTGGGGAGGGCAAAGTGAAAGGATGCACTTAAAATGGTTATGATTGGATACAGGTTGGGAAGCTCAAAATGGCTATGATTGGACCTTCCATCCCAGTTAAAGCTAAATACTGTATTCTGGAAGCATCCTCAGTCCCAGGTAGTATAGACTCCTCACTATCTCATATAAACAAACTTCTCAGTTTATACTCATTTATATTAGTTCTTTGATTTGAATACATACTTTTCCTTTTCTTTCTGATACTGGGGATTGAACCCAGGGTCTCATGCATGCTAGAC